TACATGAACAGCAATGTTGTCTAGAGACTGCTGACGTTAAAACAAAACCCATGCAGAAACAAGTGTGTCTGCCCAAGTCCCCATCCTAAATATGCTGACAGTTTCTTATTGGTTCACACCTCAGGCCCTCCCAGGTTTAAGCTGTCTTACTAGGTAATATTCCTAGGTGTCAGAGCAGTGAGGCAGCAAGGAAGTTACTATTCTCAACAACTTCATAAAATTTAGCCAAAATGCTAATAACCGTTAGGTCTGAGCTCTACCTCAGTAATACTGCTATGAAGCTGGAGTGATAATTCTTCTTTTGTAAAAGTTTAAAGTTTCCAAAGAGGTTTCCAATTATTGAGCTGCAAATGAGTTATATGTGGACTAAGATATCAACTCCCACCAGCTGTCGAGAAGGCTGGGCCCCTGGCCAGTTGTGAGTGGCCTCATCCAATTACTAAAGTGCATCATTAGATGTTTTCATTTTGTATGCACCATGATCTAAAAAGGTAGGCACTGAACTGAGAAAGGATTGCTTGTCCATAAATTACAAGGCTACTCTGTTACATACAGATGAGGTTTTCCAATTTGATGCTCAAAAGTGTCAAGTAAACCCAGCATTAAACAGTTAGGTTAATGGGCTTAACTACTCACACACTTGTTGAGGGAACTAGGAAATCATGTAATTTTACAGCCCAAGGAGTTCCTTTTCAGACACTTTGCCTCCCAAAAAGAAAAAAAAAAGAAGGTGGCAGAAGAGATCTATAAGGAAAATAATCAAGCCACTGGTGCTGCAGGCTGCAGGAAGAATTACCTGGCCTTACCACTCACTACTGCTTCCCTCTTGACATTAAGACCAAGGCTTTCATCTTCCCGATCTTGAAAAGCACATTCCCCTCAACTTCCATAAATCTGCAAAACTTGAAAGCCCCAGTGTCAGCAAGTAAAAGAGACAGCTTTAGGAATCTCACTGGAAGGAGGGGTGTCTTCAAGCCTCACTGCTAAGCTGGACATTTCCTAACACTGGACAAATTGTACGTCCAACTCAGGGAGGGTGAACTGCAGTGGTCTTTTACCCTCCAAGCCAATTGTTAGCTTTTCACAGGAATCAGCAGGGAAGCACATGTGAAACCTCTGTGTGACGGTGAGCACCCCCATGCCTTGTGTGACTCTGCATGTAGATGAAGCAGGCTGGGAGCTTTCTTAGCTGCTGCTGCTGAGTTCTCAGAGAAGCCCTTTTCTCCGGCTTGGCTCCCTGCTGGGACAGCCCTTTTCAATTTTTCTATCCCCTCTCGATCTCTTCTCCTGCAGAACACAGGGAAACTTGATTGAAATAAAGACCTAGGGAACATGTTTTATTTTCTCCTGTTCAATCCATTTTAGAAAAGCTTTTAATTGGTTTTAAAAAGATGCTAAACAAAATGTGATGATGTTTTTCAGTCTTCATGAACTACAGATACCACTTTTTATACTTTCAAAGCGCTAATAAATCAATCATGAAATTAACTCTGCAGCTAAATTTAAAGCAAATACACTGAATACCAGGTTCATTAAAAATCTATGCATTTACTTAGAAAAATTTAAAATTCAAAGAAAATTATCCTAGTTACTGAAATCTGACTTGAATTTTTAGTTCTACACTGAAAATCCAAGACCAAAGCAATCACAAAGGAAAAAAAGGAGGGCTTGGGAACCAGTTTTAATAAGCCAATTTACAAGAAGGGAGGGGTGTTGGGGGAGGGGTAGAAGGAGAAAAGAGAATATCTGGATACGTAACAACATAGTGCCCCTGAAGGGATTCTTTTATTTGAGCATGTGCACACATGCACACCCAATTTTTCTGTGTGAAAGCTGGAAATACAACAAACGCAAAACTGAGGATTCTGTGACTGATATGATTACTGTATTGTATATAAGTATAGTTCCTCCTTTTAAAGAAAAATGCTCACAACTTTTGTTTTCTAACCAGTAATAAATAATATTTTTCTATCACTTTATGTATTTCTATAATATTTAGATGAATACACCTTTAATATTTAATTTAAAACATCTGAAAAACCTATATGCTAATGGTTTGATAAAGTGAAGCTTCCGCTTTACAATGACTAATATTCTTGACACTTGGATCAGCATGAAATTTCCTCTTATTTTCTTGAGAGAATATAAACATTTTAAAAAGCAAGGTGGTATGACAAAGCACATTTTTATCTTATTAAATATATGCTATTTAGAAATACTACAAGTATGAATTTATCCTGCCACTGATTCATGTATACTGCAGGTAATCCAGCAGTCCAGGTCAGAGTCTCTGATTAAGGAGCAGCTGGTATTTTCTTCAAAGAGAATCCCTGCCATTTCCAATCTCTAAGACAACCACATCTCTTACTTCTTACATATTTCTATATGCTTCATCCTCAAATTCATTCCATGTTCTTTTTAAATGATCCAATTCCTGTTTCTCCCAAGCTGGGCCATGTACCTGGGATGCTCACCCCTTACATCTAACTCTATGTCTCCTTTCGTCATTTAAGTAGCTTCTAAACCACTTTTTAAAAATGGAACTGCTTGAGATATAGTTCACAGAGCACACAGTTTACCCATTCAAAGTGTACAATTCAGTGTTTTATTATATTCACAGATATATGCAACACTACCAAAATCAATTTTAGAGCATTTCTTTCACTCCAAAAGAAACCCTGTACCAATTAGCAGTGACCTCCCATTCTTCTCATTCTGCCCTCCCAGCATTAGGCCATCCCAAATACATTTTCTGTCTTTATAGATCTGCCAAACCTGGACATTTCACATAACTGGAATCATTCAATATATGGTCTTTTGTGACTGGCTCCTTTTGCTTAGAATGTTTTCAAAGTTCATTTGTGTTGTAGCATGTATGGTACTACCTTTTTAAATTGCTGAGTAATACTCCATTCTATGGATATACCGGATTTTATTAGATAGACATTTAGTTATGAATAATGCTGCTATGAATACTCACATGCAAGTTTTCATTGCTTGTAGGTGTATACTTAGTGGAAAGGCTGAGTTATATGGCAACTCTATGCTTAACCTCTTGAGGAACATTCTTATCAGCAGTGTATACAAGTTCCAGTTTCTTCACATCTTCGCCAGCACTTGTCATTATCTGACTTTTTGATGACAGCCATTCTAGCGGGTGTGCAGTGAGTGGTACCTCACTATTGGTTCTGACTTGCATTTCTCTGGTGACTAATGATGTTGAGTATACTTACTGGCCATTTGAACTTTACTTACTTTTTAATGTTTTTACTCTTATCATACCCTGTCTAAATATTAACTCCAGCAATATAAAAACACTTAAGCCCACTAAAATGAAAAGACCCTAAAAAATATTTTTTGGTTGATAAGCTATTTGTGAAGCATGTATGTATAAAACTCTATGCCAGAGGCTGTGAGATTTAAAAGCATAAGATAAGGTTCCTACCCTCAGAAATCTTACAAGAACTTTTACAACACAGAAACAACTATTCTTAAATCTTAGTGTGGCAGGTCATTCATTAATAGTTTCTGTTTATTTCTAATAGTATCTACTTTGGATCACAAATACTTCTCAGCCAGGGGGTGTGTCTGTGTTTATATTATTGTGCATAGTATTTAACAATGTAAAGAACAAGAAGTGTAAGACAGCACTGAAGTTATTCTTCCTTCTTTCAAGCGACTTTCAGCATAAATTCCTTTTAGCGAAAAAATGAAATATTTTAAGAAATTTAAATGCCTAGAAAAAGTCCATTGTAATAAATTTTAAAATTAGTACGCTGTTATAATTATGTTATTTTTTTGTGTGTGTGTGCATGATATATGTAGATATTGGGGGTAATTATTTCTGTTTCAGCAACTTCAGATATATATATGTTTACTTATTTATAAAAACATTGCAGGAATCAGAGAAGGGGAAAATACACTCACTTCTCTAAGTTCACCCTTAGTATAAGCTAAGACTCCAGTTACTAGGAATGATGGTTTATGAAAAGTTGATTTAAAAATCCTTTCACACTATACATATGCTGCAAATTTTCAAGACTGTTGTATGTTATATTTCTTTTCACTACTTTAGAAGTTAAAAAAAACTCTAGAAAAACCAAGACAAGTCCTTTACTTTTAAGTGCAAAACAAATGCACATATATAACTGTCAAATTAAAAACTTAGATTCACCAGTTTAAGATTAAATATTTTCCTTACAAATTACTTTATATCTCTAACTCTAAATGAGATTCTCATACAGACATTAAAATGCTTTTCAAGTCAGTGCTTAACCCCTTTGTGTCTGCCTTTGATTGGCATTTGTCAAGGTTACAGCATGCAGAATCAATCAGGGGAACTCATGTCTTATGGCACAGCCAAACATGCTCTGGTAGCCTCTACATAATTAACATATTTAACCAACCCTCACAGGTTGGTTTTAAATTTGTTAACCTACCAAAATCACAAGTCTCTAATAAAAATGCAACCACAGGAACCAAGATCCTGGCTATAAATTCACTCCTCAAAAGTGCCACAAGACCCAAGAAAAATAACTCAAGATCATCTGTTAAAAATAGTTTTTTTTTTTTTTTTTTAACTGCCCAAAGGAAATAAATATCCCCATATACAAATTTTTAGAAAAGCCCATGAAATTATAAATGAAACAAATGGGAACATATTCAATGCCTTCTACATTAATATCATAATCTCCCCTGGGAGTGGAAGCGGGGTAGGGATGTGTAACATGGTAGAAAACTTACAACCCCAAATACAATGCTAATTGTAGTATCCACACAGAAACTGTGGAATTTTGATTTCTTCAGAAAAGAAGTAGAAAAATTCTGTTCAGAAAATAATTTAACTTAAGCAGAAGTCCAGATCAGATGACCTTTCAAAATCCTTTGAACAACAAAATTTTATGTTTATGATAACCTGCTTATTTAGAGACTGCATCATTACATGCAATTTACTGAAAAATCCTTTGTTAAAATATTTCTTATTAGAAGCATTATTTTACCTGAGGAGGTGCCTTTTTCAGTAACACAAGAAGAGCCTGTAATACAAGATTTGAAAATCGAGGGCCAATAGGGACATAATCTGGAAAAGAAACATTATTATACTTAGGGATTTAATATACATGTAAGTATTCCAAACATTCAATTTTTTTTTGCATCAAACATACAGTCCCTTCATAAGCAGAATATGTATAGAAAAAGAAAAAAATTGTTTTAAAGAGTAAACATGGCTTAAATAACAGTCATACAACTATTTATAATAAGAAAAAAATGTCCCTAATAACCTAAATGCTTAAATATAAGAACTCTTATCTGTAATTCTTTTTTTGAGACAGGGTCTTGCTATGTTGCCCAGGCTTGTCTTGAACTCCTGGGCTCAAGCAACCCTCTTGCCTCAGCCTCCTAAGTTAGCTGGGATTATAGGTTACCATAAATCCCACTGTACTCGGCCCTATAAATTTTTTGAAAAAGCTTCTAAATACTCATTTTGAGTTCATGTAGACATTTTTTCTGGGATTATTTTAGAGGGGAAAAAAATCCTAGGTGTATTTACCAAGCATGTCTAAGAAGTTACTGCAAACCATGGCAATTCAGTACACTGACATTAAAACATGATGTCAGAAAATGGGTGAAGGGGAAAATAAAGAATTTCAATAAAACTGAAACAGTAGCAGAACCACTAAGATTGGCTCTCAGATGGTAAAGAGCAGATAATTTTTTAAGAGAACAACCAACCTGTTAAACATTTACCAATAATTCAAGATTCAGTGTAAATGCCACCTGCTTAGCTTTCTCTGCATATCTCGTATGCACCCCTGCCCTGTGCTTAGAGCTACTTGCAGGCCACCTGACGTCAAAAGTAATCCCTCCATTTTCAGAATATCCACCAGATGAGAACAGTGGGAGGGAAAATAAAAACAACAAAATAAAAACCAGAATATCCAAAACACATGGCACATTCTGCTTTGCACTAATATTTGCCAACATATGTTATAAAGACAGGCAGCATCTTTTTCTGAGACTCGAATACTTCTACCAAAGGAGGAAGGGCTCAGCAAGTGCTTGTTGAATAAATGAGCAAGCACGTACAGATCATAGCTATTCATACCAGTGAAAATGTACTCAGAGGGCACACATTCCTGACATGGTAGTGTTGCTATGACCACACATCTCAATTGTGTTAAAATAAAGGAATTTACACAGAGCTATGAGTTTGTGCCTAAAAGCTTTTAAAGAAATCATCCCATAAGCTGGGCTGAGAAGTATCAAACATAGCAGACCCAAAACGCAGATCACTATCAATTTATGGAGACCCCGCAGATATACCTGCTTTGCTTTATAACAAACACTGCCAAAACTTATATATAACAGAGGACCAAAAGCAAGTCTGAAAAACATAATAAAAATGGAGTAAGAACAGTTAACTTGAAATCATGACTACATCATTATGGTCAGTTTAAGGAAGAAGGGATTACTCAGACACTGAGTAGTATTTTCAGCTGTTATTAAGTCACCAGGTGGGTTTCTATTTCAATAGAGTTTATTACCCCTTCCTGAGCCATTGTTATAATGAATTTATGTCAGACTGATTTAATTTTACAGTGAAATAAAATTAAGAGTAACAACTTTCTGGCACTTCCTTGCAGTTTATTTCTCAAAAGTTAAGTTCCAGGACTAAGTCTTTTTCTTCTTTGTATCCTGTAGGAGTGCACTTCAACATAGGAGATATTTAGTACATATTTTAAAAATTACTATAGAGCACTTTTAACTTACAAAATTTCTTCATGATTTATTATCCCATTTTTGCCTTTACAACTACTCTGTGGGATAAGCAAGAGAGGGTTATAGTCTGGTTTTGTGAGAGTAGAAACTGAGGTGCAGAGAGCTTACAACTTCTGCCCTTAGTGTTTTAGGGAATTTGCAGATTTCACTGTGATCCTAAACCCTTCTTTCATTAGTTCTGTCAAAGTTCACAAGTGGATTTCTGAGCTATAGGCAGCTCAGAGGTCCTAAATAACAGATATACCCATCAATGAAAATTACTAATTATTTACTAAGGTAAGGGCACACTGGAAGATACAAAATATTATGAGATGTGGGCCCTTATAAGAAAGCAGTTTATAATGGTGTTATGGTCACAGGGCATGTTAAAATGAATACCATCATTGATGTCAGCTGTAAGATAACGTTATGTTTCCTTGCAAGACAAAGAAAGGTATTTCTATTGCTCTCCAGTTTATAAGTACTTGTTAATTTTCTCTTGTAACTTTTGCGATATTAGCTGTAATATGGCAAAGATAATACAACAGCAGAAATTAGGACTCACCAAGCAATCTCTCAATGTCATCCACAACCACACAACTGAGCTGGGATTTGTACGCATCATCAAAGATCTGAAAGAAAACAAAGTCATTATTATCTCACTGCCCTCCATAGTTATGACAATTTCCAAAAAGATTAAGTTTAGTTACTTCTTGAGCATTACTAAACAAAGCACAGGAAAACACCAAAACTTCAGACTATAATAAATTAGAATTGACACAAATGGATCACAGCTGAACAGAGAGCAGGCTAAGGCTGCTTTCAGCACTAACAGCTGCATGTGTCACACCTGGGCATGCTGGGGACTAGCTGATCATTAATAAACATCCCATCATTTCTATCACACTGACTCTGGTATCTATGTCAGGAGCAGGACTTTAGTGTAATGACTCAAGAGCTAGATGGAGCCACAAGAGATGTGTAAAATAAAACTGGATGTCATTTTATTATCTGTTAAGAATTGTGGATCTGTCAAGCAGAAATAACACTGAAAGATCAGAATTCTGTCAACTCAAATCAGACTGTAAGGGTAAAAGAGCTTACAAAAGAATTAAAGGTTGAGTATGAAGGACCAGATAGACGATGTATGTATAAAACCAGACAAAAGATACGTATATACTGTCTTAAAATGGCCAAGGAAATGAGAATGAAAATAAGCAGTGAAGGAAACTGTTTTAGCCCGGCAGGGATGCAGTAATTTCAAATCAGATAGAATTAGCTTATCTGCAAGTTGCAAAGAAGTGCTCAAGGCCTTGAGACCAGCCTTGTTGGAAATGAAGGTCCTATTCCAGAGACTATAGGTGGAGCTTAGGGAATCTCATTGGTGTCATGAGTAAGAATTAAGTTTCTGCATTCCAGCCCAGTCTCTGGTTAGTAACCAAACTCAGTGCACCAAGATAGTAAACCTCTTCCCTGCCCACACCAACATCTTGTTTGGAATGGCATAATATTCCTTCCTGGGTATCGTTTAACCATTGAAGATTTATAATTAGGTACCGATATAAAATCAAACTCATGATATTAACTATTTTTCATGTTAGGTTTAAAAACAACCTGTGTATACTTAGTTTTTAAAGTAGTCCTAACAATTAAGAAAAGTTACCATGATAGAGTCTCACTGTGAGATGTGACCATCTTAATTCAGTTCCTTCCTTAAATCTTTCTTGGCATAAATGCTGACAATTTCTCCAGATATTTAATCTGGTGAAAATGCTTTCCTATGCACCATCCCTTTACCCCCAATCACCCTCCCACACTCTGTCTAAATCCATCTATCCTTTTGTCCTTAGCACTCCACTGGACTGTGAGGTGGATAAAAGCCTCACCCTGTTTGTGTTATGTCTAATGGCCAGCACAGAACAGAATTCAGTAATGATGTCTGCTCCATAGGTTCAATGGTTGAAACAATGTAAGTTTGAATTCCATCTTGCCATAAATCACTGTCCTCTCCTTTGGCAAAGGGTCTTGTATATTATGTGTGTATATTATTGACTCATTGTACTCTTTTTGCATTATACTAGATTGGCAAGCACTGTCTTAATACGTCTGTATCCTCATATCATTTAATATGATGTCTTATTGGAGAGTAATTAAGAAATATTTACTAAAAGAATAAATTTACAAATTTTAAATTCAAATAGATATATTAAGTAAGAAGTTGGAGATGTCTCATTGAAGCCAGGGTATGGAAATCACTTGCAGGCAGTGACTACTGAAACCATGACAGGAGATGAGCTCTTCAAGGAGAAATGGAAGAAGTAGAAAAAAGGCCTGAAGACTGAATATTAGAGTGCTGCCTTATTCAGTCACTTACTCAACAAATATTTTTGAATTCTTATTATGTATTCATAAGCATATGAATCAATAATGAAGCACTGCAGAGGACAATAAATAAGACAAAAATGATCCTATCTCCATAAAAGTTAGGGTTGGGGAAGCAAGTAACATGTAATTATAACAAAGCATGACATTATTAGGCTAAGGGAAATACAAGATGATATAGGGGCACAGAGGAAGGGAGCTACGGAGTCACTGGGATCCCACACACATCCTGGATCTCTTTCTGGGCACAGGGTAAGGCGGTATTTCCCCAGTGCCTTGGAAGTTAGGCATAACTATGGGGCTTACTTTGGTTAATGAAACATGAGGGAAATACACCCCTTTCTGAAAGAAGCCTTAGGAGTCTCTACATGAGTCACCATATTCCTTTTCCTGCCGTGGCTATCATGGAATCACATGTAAGACAGGGCCTCTGTTATCTGTTAGCTTGAGTCTCTGAGAAAATGTAATGAACAGAACTCACTGTCTGAGACATGATGGAGATAGAGCAGTGTGAATAAAATAAACTTTGTTGTGCTAAGCCACTGAGATTTTTAGGTTGTTCATTAATGCAGCGTAACTCAGCCTATCTTGACTCTCACGTGGACTTAGGGAGTCAGGAAAGCACTTCCTAAATTTAGGAAGTGACACTGAACCTGAGTCTTGAAGGATGAACAACAGTTAACGAGTGGAAAGGGTGGAAGGAAGTGTTCTAAGGAGAATATGATTAATATTAGGAGGCACAGTGATTCAAATCTTCAGGAACACTGCAGGAACAGTCAATAAGAATTAAAATAAAGCGGTGTTGGTGTCAATGTCAGTGGAGTGGTGAGTGAGATGAATTAGAAGAGGTGATGAAGAAACTTGGACGTAGAGAGTCTTAGAAATATCATGAGTTAAAATTTTAGTGTAAAGGCAATAAAAAGCCACTAAAGGGTTATAAACAACAGACTGACATGTCAGGCTTATGTTTTAGAAACACTTTCCTAATATATAGAAAAGCATTAGAGGGGAATAATAGTTATTTGAGACTGTGGAATTCCAGGTGAGAAATTATAATGGCCTGGGAATGGGTATGCTGAGAAGTGGATAGAATCGAAGATATTTAGGAGGAGAAACTGAAAGTACTTGGTGAATGAATGGGTGTGGTGATGAAAGAGAAAACTGGAGTCAAGGCTCCTTCCTGACTGGGCAACTGAAACAAAAAACAGAGAAGAAGCTCGTTTGAAAATGGATCGTGAGTACATTTAAAGAGCAGAAAGAGAAGGGCCTTTTATCTCCTCCTCCCCACACACAGAAAAAGAGAAAAAGAGAATAGCATGTTTATTTCCGTCTCTTGCTACATAGTGATGGCTCCTTTTGGCTTTGAGTTGGTATATTCAAGATAACTGAAAAGCTCAGAAGCGGTTCTACAGTGGTTCTTGGCTGCTTTAAGACGAAGCCAACAGAACAGCCAATGTGGTACCTTATAAACTCAGCTAACTTCAAGGAATCATTGCAAATAATGCTTTGTTTTCTAAAACATTTTTCAGATTCTACTAAAAGCTCTGATGCAAGCATATAACTGACCATCACACTATGAGATCATGGACTAGAGCCACAGAGACCTGGGACACCAGAGCCTGGCTGGTTGTAATAGTTCTGTTTTTCCTTCTCAAAACAATGTACAGCTTATATGGCTGCAAGGACCTTACTCAGTACATTGCTTAAGTCTAAACTGATGATGACTTGCTATGTAGTATGTAGTCTCACTAACTTATCTCAGATACCGTAATTCACAAAGCATTGCAAGTCACTTCACAGTTGACTGCATGGCCTACACATAATATTTGAAAGGAAAAATACCCACAGCAGTCACTTAATATCAAAGAGTGACATTTGTTTTTGTTTTTTTTTTGTAGTCCATCTCTGTACTAATTACTATCAGAGGGAGAGGCACGCTCACAGCAAGCTCTATTAACACACTGACCATGATGAAGGCTGTGCAATTCCAGTTGTAACTTGACTAGTTTCAGGTAATCAGTCAACTGAAACTCCTCGGGGTAGCTACTCTGCTCTAATTTAAATACACACACACACACGCCTTTCTCTTCTCACACATACATTTTCTTATCTAGTCACTAGTGTAACCTGTGCTCATAACTATTCCCCAGGATCTATGATTTCTGCCTAGTCTTCTCAGCCCCTTAGTCCCTTTCTCTCTTGGCTTTCTGGCCCAGGCTCCAGGAAAATTCTCACTAAGGAGCTACTCGGAGTTGGCTGGCAAGAAGTACATGAGGTTAGCTGCTACAGTAAAATCCAAGTGAGATGTTTACATACTGAGCTGGGAAGCTTCCCCACAACTTTAGGTAGATAAACCCCAAAAGGAGGAGAGGTACTAGAGAAAGAGATGCATGAAAAGTAAAATCGTAAACTGCCCTAGTCGGACTAGTACAACCGAAGTGCCAAACTCACCATGAGTTAGAGCACACAGCAGGTAACACAGTGCCTGCTTTAGATCCAAAGATGCCCCAACACAGAAGATGCCAGGAGGGTTGAGGCTGGAGGTAAGAAGGCAAAAACTGTATCTTACAGATTCCCCCAAAAAATCAGTCTTAAGAATGTATAGTCAGCCTAATTTCATTAGTAAGTTTCCTGTAGAACAGGTAAAATTATCAACATATATATAGGGCCTTAAGAGTTAGGTGGGAAGTCTGAAAGAGAAGGTTAAAGAAAAAAAAACCAGGAAGAACTGAAGAAGGAAACAATGTGGGAAAGAGTGGCATCAGTCAGTCTCAGTCTCATGAAATAATGGGAGGTCTACGCTAAAGGAAGAAGAGCAGCTCTGGAAAACACAGAAGCCCATTATGTCCACCTGTGTACATAATGAGATGGTCATATTAAGCTGCAACTGCTTTTGCATGCAAAGGTGGAGGTATGACACAGGCTGGAGGCGCATGAGAGACAACCCAGAGTGTGGGGAGCCTGGGCTCAAGGCGAGTGTGTGCCACATGCACTGTGAGCACTGAGGGACAGGAGACGCGGGGCTCTGCCACACAGGGATTAGGGGCAGGTCTGAATATGGTGTTCAAGGACACAGCAAGCTCTTAAGACCTATAGCCCACTTCTGGGATCTTCAGACAAGTAGGGAGCTACCTGTGTGTGAAGGAGGGGAAGCAATTATGTGCCCTGGAGTCTACCCAAGTGCAAATGGGAGTATGCCAGCATTAGGACTATTAATCCCAGCCTTTCAGGATCACAAGCCACAGCAAGT